CTCTTTTTGTTTTGCTGTCTTTGTTTCGCTTCGTCTCTGTCTCTCTCTCTCTGCTGTCTCCTCTCTACTTTTCTGTCTCTCTGTCTCTGTCTCCTTCTCTCTGTCTCCTTCTCTTTCTGTTTGTGTCTCTCTCTGTCTCTGTCTCTCTGTGTCTCTGTCTGTGTCTCTTTCTTTGTCTCTGTCTCCTCCTCTCTCTGTCTCTTTCTGTGTCTGCTTCTCTCTGTCTCTGTCTCTGTTTCTTTCTATCTCTGTCTCCTTCGGTCTCTGTCTCCTCCCGTCTCTGTCTGTGTCTCTTTTGTCTCTCTGTCTCTGTCTCTGTCTGTCTCTGTCTCTGTCTCTGTCTCTCTGTCTCCGTCTCTCAGTCCCTTAGACAGTCGGTGTCTCCTTTTATGTTTTATCTTCTTTCTTCCTTTCTGCTGTTTGTCTCTCTACCCTTTTTAATATATCTATTTCCTATGCTACCCGCTCGAAGCCCTCAGCTAGCTGCAGCTAGCTGCAGCTAGCTATAGGTATCCATACTAAGTAGTACTAAGGCCAAAGAATGCGCGTAGCCAAGTGTTGAAAATACTGCAGCAGCAGCAGCAGCTGTTGCTGCTGCAGCAGCAGCAGCAGCAGGTGCAGCAGCTGCAGCCTGCGGGCTCGCCGGCTGCAGGTAGATATAAGAGAAAGAGACAAAAGGAGACAGACAGAAAGAGAGACAGACAAAGTCGCAGACAGCGGGAATGACCCAAAGAGCTGCTGCTGCTGCTGTTGCTGCTGCTGCTGCTGCTGCTGTGGGGCCCCACAGGAGGACGACGCTGACGATGAAGATGCAGACAACTGAACAGCAGCCAAAGAAGCAGAAAAGCTGCTTCCAAACAGAACAAAAAAAAAACAACAAACCCTAAACCCTAAACCCTAAACCCTAAAGCGGAGACAGGAACCTCTATACGGTCCTGCAGACTGCTATAATAGGGGCCCCCACCTAACCTACTGGGCCCCTACAGGGGCCCCCAGTACCCCTAGGGGGCCCCCCGTACCCCTAGGGGCCCCCCAACACCCCTAATGGGCCTCCAGTACCCGTAGGGGGCCCCCAGTACCTGTAGGGGGCCCCCAGTACCCGTAGGGGGCACAAGGGGCCCCTACAGGGGCCCCCAGTACCTGTAGGGGGCCCCCATTACCCCTAGGGGGCCCCCAGCGAGCCTGAGGGGCCCCAGTAGCAATAATAAGGGGTAGTAAACATGTTTAGGGGGCCCCCCAGCAAGCGTGGGGGGCCCCCAGTACCCATTAGGGGCCCCCAAGTCGATGTAGGGGCCCCTGAGAATCCTAAAAGGGTTAAGCAGTCTCCGTTTAGTATTTTTTGGGTTATTAATTGTTAAGACGAAATTCAAATTCCCCTAAGAGAGAAAAAAGCAAAAAAAAAAATAAATAAAAGGTGCCTATACACCCCAAGAAAAGAAACAAAGATGCTCTCCCTAACACATACTTATTTATTATTATTATTATTATTATTATTATTATTTTATTTTATTTTATTATTATTATGTCTGTTATTATTCTTGCTTATCCTCGTACTATGAGTGTATATTATATTTAATCTATTAGAAATGTAATTAGTAGTAAATAAAACATATTTATATTACTCTTTATTTTATTTTATAAACATAAAAGCTTTATATTTATTTTATTCTGTACACAAAAATATAAATAAATATATATACATCTACATATATATATATATATCTGTACATATATATATATATATAACAGTTTTATATTTATATTTATATTTATTTTATTCTACAAACATTAAAGTGATGCTCCTGCGACCCCAAGACAGCAGATGGAGACAACAAAAAATAAACACAAGACAAAAGGAGACACATGCCTTTAAAGACAAACAATAAAAAATAAAACACAAGTAAATAATAATAATAATAATAAATAATAATTATGATAAACAAATTAGTAATAGTAATACACAAATAAATAAATAAACAATCATAATAGAAGATAAAAATAAATAATAATCAAGGAGACAATAACAAGCAAATAAACAAATAAGTAATAGAATAAAACAAACTAAAAAGATAATAACAATAAAATAAATTAAAATAATAAAATAAACAAATAAACAGCAGCAAACAATACTAACCTGCTACAGTGCCGCAGCGGCAGCCCTTGTATGGCTGAGCAGCAACACCAGATACGTCTAGAGACTCCAGCTGCAGCAGCAGCAGCAGCAGCAGTAGCACAAGCAGCAGCAGCATCAGCAGCATGAAGAAGCAGCAGCAGCATAAGCATCAACAGCACAAGCAGCAGCAGCATCAGCAGCACAAACAGCAGCAGCAACACAAGCACAAGCAACAACAGCAACACAAGCACAAGCAGCAGCACAAGCAGCAATATCAGCAGCACAAGCAGCAATATCAGCAGCACAGGCAGCAGCAACAGCGCAAGCAACAGCAGGAGGACGCCACACTGTAGGTTAGCGACAGCAGCAGAGTGTGCAAATGGCTGGGGTGTATAGGGAGGTATAATTTGAGGTGTATAGGCAGCTAACAGCAGCAGCAAATATCTTACTTTTAATCCAGAAGGCACCCAATTCTTTACAAGAAAATTAACTTGTGCAACCAACCTGCATGTACACCCCAGCAAAAGGAGACAGTTGAGAAGACAGAAGAAAAGGAGACAGATTTATAAATTAAAACCTAATAAACAACAAATAAAAATAATAATAAACAACTATTGACTGCATATACACCTCGTCTCCTGCGGGGAAGTGATGTCTTCTCGCTGTCCTTCATCTGCGTTTAGGCTAACCTGCAAAAGAAATAAAACAGAGACAAAAGGAGACAAATAGAGACAAAAGGAGACAAAAGGAGACAAATAGAGACAAATAGAGATAGATAGAGGAGACAAATAGAGATAGAGGAGACAAAAAGAGACAAAAACAAACAAAAAGGAGACAAAACAGAGACAAACAGAGACAAATAGAGACAAATAGAGACAAAAGGAGACAAATAGAGACAAATAAAGGCATAAGGGAGACACACAGAGACATAAAGGAGACAAAAGGAGACATAAAGGAGACAAAAGGAGATAGAGGAGACAAACAGAGATAGAGGGGACAAAAAGAGATAGAGGAGATATAAAGAGACAAAAACAAACAAAAAAGAGACAAAAAGGAGACAAAAAGAGACAAATGGAGACAGTCAAGATGAATGGAGACAAACAGACACAAACAGAAACAGAAAACAAACGAAAAGAGACAATGCATGCATGCACAATGCATGCATGCATGCATGTGTGGGGTTGTTGTTTGAATGACTTACTGTGCCTTCTGCAGTTACTGGAGGAGAGTCAAACGGCAGCAGCGGCACCTCCCATACAATCCGCTGCAGCAGCAGCAGCAGCACAAGCAGCAGCAGCAGCAGCAGCAGCAGCAGCAGCAGCAGCAATACCAGTAGCTTGCAAGGCAGAATTCTCTGTCTGGGGGGCAGAGAGACAAAACGCCAGCACTGCGAAAGCGAGACAACCTAAACAATCAAAAGGAGACAAAAATAAACAAGAAGGAGACAAAAATAATTAAAAAGGAGACAAAAATAATTAAAAAGGAGACAAAAATAATCAAAAGGAGACAAAAATAAACAAAAAGGAGACAAATATAATTAAAAATAATTAAAAAGGAGACAAAAATAATTAAAAAGGAGACAACCAGACAAAAAAAGAATTAAAAGGAGACAATAAATAAATAAACAAATAAATAAAATAAAATAAACAGATAAATAAATAAATAAATAAATAAATAAATAAATAAATAAATAAGAGACAAACGAGAAAAAAGAATTAGGAGACAAAAAATAAAATAAATAACAAAAAGAGAGAAAAGAAAGACTTCAAAGGAGACAATAAATAAATGAAAAGGAGACAGAAAAGAATAATTAAATAAATAAAAAATAAAATAGAGACAAAAAGAATAACAATAAATAAAAATAAAACAAACAAAGACAGAAAAATAAGAGAGGAGACAGAAGGAGACAAACACCTGACGGAAGGGTGAAACGCCGCGTGCTGCAGCAGTTCAGGCTGTCGCAGCGAGAGACACAACTCAGGGATGCCGCTAAGCTGAGACAGCAGCAGCAGCAGCAACAGCAGCAGCAGCAGCAATTGATAAATTGAACCCGCAGCAGCAGCAGCAAGCTGAAGCAGCAAACTGAAGCAGCACGCTGAAGCAGCAAGGTGCAGCACCAGCAGCACCATCAGCAAGATGCAGCAGCAGTAGCAACGAGCTGCAACAATGCAGCAGCAGCACCAGTGGCAGCAGCAGTAGCAGCAGCACTAGCAGCAGCAAGAGTAGTAGCAGCACCAGCAGCAGCAGCAGCAGCAGCACTAGCAGCAGCAGCAGCAGCATTAGCAGCAGCAGCAGCAGTAGCCGACCCTGCAGTTGACCATAATTTGCCCCGCAATTGAGGAGTTGAGGATCTGTCCGTTGCTGCAGCACAAACGCATGCAGCAGCAGCAGCAGCATCAGCAAAAGATTCTTAAAAGGCCCATGAGCAGCAACGGCAGCTGCTGCTAAACAGCGAGAAAACTACAGCCGCAGAAGCAGCAGTAGCAGCACAAGCAGCAGCAGCAGCTGCACCACCACCACCAGCAGAAGCAACACGATCACTACCACCAGCAGCAGCAGCAGCACCAGTAGCAGCTGCAGCAGCAGCAGCAGCAGCAGCACGAGCAGCAGCAGCGGGAGCACCAACACCACTACCACTAGCATCAGCAGCACGAGCAGCAGCAGCACGAGCAGCAACAGCACTACCACTAGCATCACCAGCACGAGCAGCAGCAGCACGAGCAGCAGCAGCACGAGCATCACCCGCACGAGCAGCAGCAGCACGAGCAGCAGCAGCACGAGCAGCAGCAGCACGTGCAGCAGCAGCACGAACAGCAGCAGCACGAACAGCAGCAGCACGAACAGCAGCAGCAGCAGCAGCAGGAGCAGCAGGAGGAGGATGAGCAGCCTACCTGTCTACAAGAGCCTGAATTCTTTCGATGAGGTCAACGTACACCTCATTTGAAGTATAATTTACTGCTCCCCGCCGCCACCAGCAGTCAGAGCCGCTGCCGCTCAAACCGCTTCCTTCACCGTAGCCGCTACCGCTGCCAAGCCCAGCACCTGCACAGCAGCAGCAGCAGCAGCAGCAGCAGCAGCAGCAGGAATAGTAAGAAGAGCAGCAGCAGGAATAGTAAGAAGAGCAGCAGCAGGAATAGTAAGAAGAGCAGCAGCAGGAATAGTGAGAGCAAAAACAGCAAGAGCAACAGCAGGAGTAGCAGCAGTAGCAGCAGCAAGAGCAGCAGAAGGAGTAGTAAGAGCAGCAGCAAGAGCAGCAAGCCCAGCAGAAGGAGTAGTAAGAGCAGCAACAGGAGTAGCAGCAGTAGCAGCAGGAAAAAGTGAAGCAGCAGCGGATGCAGCAGAGGAGAAGCAAAGAAAAAAGCAGCAGCAGCAACAAAAGCAGAACAAGTAGCAGCAGCAGAAGCAGTAGCAGCAGCAGAAGCAGGAATAGCATCGGGAGGGACGCAGCAGCAGATGCAGCGAGAAAAAAACAGCAGCACCAGAAAACAAACAAACAACTCAGCAGAATCATGTGGGGTGCAAGGGATGCTGCTGCTGCTGTTGTTGCTGCTGCTGCTGCTTTTGCTGCTGCTGCTGCAGCAGCAGCACTGGAAGAGGCAGCGTTACCTGCAGTTAGCTCTGGAGTTGTCTGTGCAGCAGTTTGCTGCTGCTGCTGCTGCCCCACACCAATCGAAGCAGCTAATGAAGTCAACACGCGAGAAGACCCTTGAACCTAAACAGCAGCAGCAGCAGCAACAACAGCAGCAACAGCAGCAGCAATAGTAGCAGACGCAGCCTCCAGCAAGGCAGCAAACTGCAGCAGCAAGCACATCACCACCATCAACAGCAGCAGCAACAGCAGCAGCAGCAACAGCAGCAAACCCAGCAGCAAAACTAGCACCAGCAGCAGCAGCAGCAGCAACAGCAGCAGCAGCAACAGCAGCAGGAGGGAGCTGACTAGCTGCATGGCCTTGGCAACAACAGAGGAAGGCTGCAGCAGCAGCTGCAGCAGATTTTCTTCTAAGATATACGGATAACCCCAGTCTACAGCAATATCAATTAATAAATAGACGACGCTGAAATTGCTGCGAAGGGCCTCTTCTGTAAGGACATCTCCGCTGCTGCAGCAGCAGCGACATATCTGCTCGTACAGCTGCTGCAGCATCTCTAGCAGCAACAGGGGCTCCGCCTGCAACACCACACAACAGCAGCAGCATTAACAGCAGCAGCATTAGCAGCAGCAGCAATACCTGTAGTAGCTCCAGCAGCAACAGCAGTAAAAGCAGCAACAATAGCTGCAGCAACAGCCAGCTAGTCCTCTCTCTAATCCAGAAGCAGCAGCAGCAAAAGCAGAAGCAGCAACAGACGCAGCAACAGCTGCAGCAGCAGAAGCAGCAACAGCTGCAGCAGCAGAAGCAGCAACAGCTGCAGCAGCAGAAGCAGCAGCAGCAGATGGTTGAGTAAGTCATACCTCTGTGGTGCATGCAGCAGCAAGCAGCAACTTATCGCGGTGTATGTGCAGCAGCACAGAACCTCCGCTGCTCTTCATAACACGCGGTGCTGTCTGCAGCGCTTGAGGCCCTTCCTGCTGCAGCTGCTGCAGCAGCGGCTCACAGACAGCGCGGTTAACACGCCCCCTGTAGTGCTTCTCCAGCAGAAAGGACCTGCAGCAGCAGCAGCAGCAGCACAGATAACAACAGAGCAGTTGCAAGGGCAGGGAGAGAAGCGGATGCAGCTAGCTGCGCAAATGATACTGCTGCTGTTGTTGCTGCCGCTGCTGCTGCTGCTGCTGCGGCTGCTGCTGCAGTACTGACCCCGCATCGTTAAGGAGGAAAAGGGAGTCCATCCTCCGCCCCCAGCAAGTTGCTGCTGCTGCTGCTGCTGCTAATGCTGCGGGTGGTCTTGGAGTTGCTGCTCTTTATGTTGCTGCTGTTGATGATGATGATGATGCGGCTGCTGCTTCCGTGGTACTTGCTGCTGCTGCTGCTCCTGCTGCTGCTTTTGCTCGGTTAGGGAAAGCGTCTGCTGCTGCTTCTGCAAAGGAAAGGCAAACAGACAACACCTCCTGCTGCTGTTGCTGCTGCTGCTGCTGTTGCTGCTGCTGCCGTTGTTGCTGCTGCTGTTGCTGTTGCCGATGTTCCTGCAGCTGCTGACTGCAACGTAGCCGCTACCACAGGCTCACTAGCAGCAGCTGCAGGGGAAATATGGGCAGCAGCAGCGGCTGCTGCAGCAGCTGCAGCAGCAGCAGCTGCTGCTGCTGCTACAACCCGCTGGGACTCAATCTGTGAAGCGGCTGGAAGGCAGCTCTACAGGGAGCAGCAACACCAGCAGCAACAGCAGCAACAGCAGCAACAGCAGCAGCAGGAGCAGCAACAGCAGCAATAGCAGCAGACAAAGTTACCTAGAAAATGAAGGCGTTAGCTGTTGTCCTCTGTTGCTGCAGTTTTGCTGCTGCCAATGCTACTGCTGTTGCTGCTGTTGCTGCAGGAAGACAGCAAAAATAAATAAATTATTTGACTTTATTTCGGTCTATAGATTCATATTTCATGCTGCTGGTTCTGTTGCTGCGCCTTCGAGAGCTTGTCTTGCTGCTGCGCTGTGCTGCTGCCGCCGCTGCTGCTGCTGCTGCTGCTGCTGCTGCTCCAGCCCCAGGCATGGGAGCAGCAGCAGCAGCAGCAGCAGCAGCCTCACCCAGCACCTGCAGTGTCTCTATTGATTTTCATGAGTTAATGGTCAGCAGCAAACACTTATTCTTCCAGGCGTCAGCCGACTCAGCAGCAGCAGCAGCAGCAGCAGCAGCAGCAGGACAGCACTCTCCTGCCTTTGTTGCTGGCTGCATGCCTCTGCGTTCTTTTTCTTTCAGCAGCACAAACATCTGGGAGTGCTGCAGAAGTATATGAAGCGAAGGTGCTTATTATACACCTCAGCCTTTGCTACTTCCTGACGAGCAGCAGCAGCAGCAACAACAGCAGCAGCAGCAGCAGCAACAGCAGCAGTCGTTGATAAAGGGCTGCAGCAAAACTCCTTGCTTGTTTTCTGTGGTGTGCTCTGCTGCTGCTCTCAGCTGATTCTCCTTCTCTATTTTATAGAGCAGCAGACCCAGCAGCAGCAGCAACAACAACAGCAACAGCAGCAGCAGCATCAGCAACAGCAGCAGCAGCAGCACGAGGAGATTTCAAGCGAGGAGAGATGAGCGAGGTGGCAGCGGAGATGGCGCCTGTGGAGGCGAAACCTGCTGCTGCAGCAGCAGCAGCAGCAACAACAACTGTTAGCTGCAGCGCTGCTGCTGCTAGTGGTGGGGAGGGCTTAGGTTTATTCTCTCGCCTGAGGGCTCTTCAGCGGCAGCTCAAGTTCTTGAATGTGCAGGTGCTGCTGCTGCTGCTGCTGCTGCTGCTGCTACTGTTGTTGTTGCTGCTGCTGCTGCTACTGTTGCTGCTGCTGTTGCTGCGGTTTGATGGAGGTGTCGCCGTGCCTTTGATTTGTTTGTTCAGTGCAGTTTATATATATAATATATATTATATTATATATTATATTATATTATATTATATATTATATATTATATACATCTAGATATATACATAGATATATACATACATATATAAATATCTATATATATAAATATATATATATATATATCTTTATATAGAGTTTGTTGTACACAATATATAAATAAATATAAATAAAAGTATAAATGCATGCAGGAGGATTTTATTAGAGAAGAGCAGAAGAATCTGAAGCGAGAGTACTGTCGAGCCCGAGAAGAGTTAAAGAGGATTCAGTCTGTACCCCTCGTCATCGGACAGTTCTTAGAGATGCTGTCTGCTAAAGAAGCTATCGTCGCTAGCACTGCTGGCAGCAGCTACGTCGTCAGGGTTCTCTCTACGATCAACAGGTTTGCTGCTCTTACTGATGTGCACTTCCTGATGCTGATGCACTTGCTGCTGCTGATGCACTTGCTGCTGCTGATGCTCCTGATGCACTTGTTGCTGCTGATGCTCCTGATGCACTTGCTGATGCACTTGCTGCTGCTGATGCACGTGCTGCTGCTGATGCTCCTGATGCACTTGTTGCTGCTGATGTTCCTGATGCGCTTGTTGCTGCTGATGCTCCTGATGCACTTGCTGCTGCTGATGCACTTGCTGCTGCTGATGCTCCTGATGCACTTGCTGCTGCTGATGCTCCCGATGCACTTGCTGCTGCTGATGCTCCTGATGCACTTGCTGCTGCTGATGCTCCTGATGCACTTGCTGCTGCTGATGCTCCTGATGCACTTGCTGCTGCTGATGCTGTGCTAGGTTGTGCTGCTGCGCATGCATTTGCTACTGCTGATGCACTTGTTGCTGCTGCTGTGCTAGGTCGTGCTGATGCTGCTGCTGTGCTAGTTGCTGCTGCTGCACAAGCTGCTGGGCCTGATGCACAGGTTGCTGTTGCTGCTGCTGCTGCTGCATATGCTGCTGCTGCGGAGTGTCTTTATTTTCGCTCCGCAACAGTTGCTGCTGCTACGCTGCTGCTGCTGCTATACTATTTACTGCTGCTATACTGTATACTGCTATACTGTATACTGCTGCTGCTGCTGCTGCTGCTGCAGGGAGTTGCTGAAGACGGGCAGCAGCGTAGCGCTGCACAGACACTCGCACTCTGTGGTGGATGTCCTTCCTCCTGAAGCAGATTCTACGATTCAAACCCTCAAAATGCAAGAGAAACCAGATGTTACTTACTCGGTCAGCAGCCTGCTGCTGCTGCTGCTGCTGCTGCTGTTGCTGCTGCTGCTGCTGCTGCTGCTGCTGCTGCTGCTGGTGATGGTTCTGCTGCTGGTGGTGGTGTTGCTGGTTTTGCTGCTGCTTCTTGTGCTTTTGCTGCTGCTTCTGCTGTTTCTGCTGCTACCGTTTCTGCTCCTGTTTCTGCTTC